CGCACTTTTGAGATGAATCTGGATGAAAACAAGGAAGGAAAGAAGGAGAAAAGCATTGTCTTTCAAACCGAAGTTGATTTTGATGATGATGAAGACTTGGCCCAGTCCATAACAAGGTTGTCAAAGAAATTCAACAAGGTGATGAAGAAGGTCAATAGGAAGAATGAGAATTCAAGAAATGACAACTCCAACAATTTTCAAAAGAGTAAATATGTAGCAAATAGCACATAATTGAAGACAAAGAACATAGGTATTCAATGCCGAGAGTGCGACGAATATGGACATATTCAATCTGAATGCGCCAATACCCTCAAGAAGAAAAAGAAGTCGTTTAATGCAACTTGGAGTGATGAAGAGTCAGAAGGCAGTTAGGAAGATGACGAACATGTGAGCAACTATGTTGCTTTCAATGTTTATGTTGATATGGACGTTTCTACAGATAGTGTTACAAAAGGTGTCGCAGACAGAGTTACAACAAATGCTGAAACAGATTCTGTGAACAATAAAAACGAAGGGGATTTTTCAGATTCTGAAAGTAATAGTGATGGTGATGAGTTGACTATTGATGCCATATAAGAATCCTATAAGACTATGTTCAGCAAATGGGTTAAAGTGTGTGATATAAATAAGTCTCAACGGGAGTGCGTCGATGATCTTGTCAAAGAGAATTATGTGTTGAAGAGAGTTGCTGATAATTATGAATTACTTGCTGCAGAAAAAGAAAAGAAATTGAAGGAAACAAGGGCTGAACTCGAGAGCACTTAGAAAAATTTGAAGATGATGAATTCTGGCACCACCAAATTAAATCATATTCTCTCTACAGGAAAAGCAAGTTGTGATCATCATGGACTTGGTTATACTAGTGAATGCTCAACGTCCAAGACAATATTTGTGAAGGAGACACCCGCACATGAGCCTCAAATTATCCCCTATAAGAAAGTTGTTATTGCACGCCCTCAACATAAGTCAAGAAGGTTTGTTCCTACATGTCACTATTGTAATTTGCCTGGCCACATTAGACCTAGATGTTACAAATACTTAAATACTTTAAAAAGAGGTATGATCATTAATCCAGTAAATTCAACATTCACAAGAAGGACACCTAGAATGAAGATTGATGTGTACGAAAAATTTCCTAGACATGTGTGGGTAAGGAAATCTGATTTGTGGTGTCATAGGACTTATACTTCTTTAGAAGCATGTACTAGTGATTGTGGGTGTAGTAATGGTGGTTGGTCTAAGCATTTGACAGGTGATAAGAATAAGATTCATGGAGTGTTGAATTCAGGGGGAGTAAAACAGAGACAAGATTCATGATGAGCATTTTGCAGAGATCAATGACCCTGAAAGATGATCTGCAGAAAAGTGTTATATCAAGTGTTGCAACACTTTATGCGACAACAGCTTCTAAAAGGTTATTCTATTAGTATTATTTTTAACTTTGGCTGTATTTTGTCAAAAAGGGAGAGAACTCTTAATTCAACTAACTTCCTTAGTTGGATTTTATCTTTTATCTTGTAATAGGTTCTTTTTGTTAGCAATGTTAGTTTTGCCAAAAATAGCCAAAGGGGGAGATTGTTAGTGCATTTTGTGTTGGCTTATTTTTGACAAATTAGTTGTAAGATTGGTTGGCATTGTAAATTGGTGGCCCTCTTAAGGAAAGTCTTGCTGTCATGTTTATTGGCTGCAAATAAAAGGACTTGATTGCTGAAAATCAAGAGTGAACTTTTGGAGAATTGATTGTTGGTCATCTTGAGGCTTAAGGCAGGTCTAATGCAAAAAGAGAATGGCAGAATGTGTTGTGCAGAGAGAGTGCTGAAAACAGAAAATTTGCTTTGTTTATGTCAGAATGAGATTATAATGTTAATCGTCGTTTAATGTATTGCGACGAATTGTTAGAACACTTTTTAGTTGGCTCTTCAGGAGAAGATTTCTTTGGTTTCGGGAGGATCAAGTCGAGTGGTGCTCGCTGATCAAGCTTCCTAAGGAGATTCTAGGCAACGACGACATTGTCAAAGAGGGAGTCGTTGAGTGTGTAAAGCCGCTCGGTCCTTTGTAATCTTTTAAACTTAGTGGATTGATCACTGTCTAGGCGTGGCCTCGCAGAGTAGGTGTGCACACCAAACTACGATATCATTTTCTGGTGTCCTTTATGTTTCTGTATTATTTTCCTGCATTGCTGTTTTGCTGGTTTAATTTCATATTTTCTGTTAAAATAATGTTACAGTAAAGTGTTATAACACTCTCTGTGACACTAACGATAAAAACAGACCTAACAACCCTTTTAGCATGTTACATCATAAAAATTCTCTAATTTAAGAGGTATAAAAAAATATAAGAAAAAAGTTAAAAAAAGTAATAAAAAAAAGAACGGGACAAAACAAAATGACAAAAGGTAATTATAATTTATAAAATATTTATAATTATAGATTGTAAATTTAGGTAAAGTCTTGAATTCAATACCCTCATTAGTCCAATAAATGCAACTTTTTTTTGAAAGAAAATGCAACTTTCTTTTTAAAGGAAAATGCAACTTTTTTTTTAATTTATATGTATAACATCATTTGTATGCATAATGTAACATGTAGTTTTTTTTTTGTGACACTCAATGTTAGATGGTAAAATTATAGGGCCCATTTAGTTCGCTGATTCGAGTTGAGATGTGACTTTATGTGAGAGCTTTTTACTGTAACAAAAAAGTTAGATTTGACTGTTTGTGAGAGTTTTTTACTGTAACAAAACTCGAATTCTACACTCGAATCAGCGAAATGAATGAGACCATAATTTTTTTTTTAAATGTTACACTTAAACAAATTAAATATTACACAAACAAATAAATAATATCATACCACAATATGAAAGGAGATATAATTAAGAACTGGTCAGATACCAGACTTATGACCATTCCTATGAATTAGAGGTTATCAATTATAGATTATGAATTAAATTATGGTGGGTAATGAAGATGAGAGTTCTCTACTTATAGTATTAAAAAAAAAAAAAAAAAGTTCCCTACCTACTAATACTATCTGATAACCAAACCCGAACATTACCGACAATCATATCTCTCTTTTTTTTTTTTTTGTTTGAAAAAAGCAAAAGTGTTAAGTGTGAACGATGACCCAGCCAACCACTTTCCTTCGTTGTCCACCTCCATTCAGTTTCAGTGCTTTTTTTTTTTCCCCTCCTCTTGAAATGACTTCGTTTTAGTTTTCCACAACGAAAAGACTTTTTTTTTCATTCGTTTTTTCTCCTAGCAAAGACTTTTCTTTTCTTATTTATTTATTGGAAGTTTTTTTTTTTGAACTGTTATTGGAAGTTTTTATGTTAAGATAAAAAAATAAAATGTACTTAAATCTAATCATAAAATGATTTATTTTATATATTTTTTAAAATTAATATAATTTTAACTAAATTAAACAGTAAAAAATAGACAATCCCAATAAAAAAAAACCATACTAAAAAAATTCTCGTATTCATTTATTTGTTTATATAATTTTTTTGGTATATTAATAAGTTAAAATTTGTATCTATTAAATTTATATAAAATCACATAAAAATTAAAATATATATAAATTCAACCGTTAAAAAAATATAATCTCACGTGACGTAGAAAGAATTTGGTTGTTTATTTTGTGTTGAAATATTTATTTATATTTTGTTTGGTTCATAAATTAGAATTATGAGATTAAAATTATTTTTAATTTATGTATATTTTTATAAAAAAAAATACTATAATAAATTATGAACCATAATTTAAATGAGAGAACCAATTTTTTAAGCAAACGGGCTTATATATTTATGAACTAAGATGGCTTTTTTATTTCAAGTCAATACTACGTCGGTCGCTAACGCACAAGGGCGGTGACGTCACCGCTGACGTAAGCGGAACCCAGCTGCGGAGACTGATGCCATCTCTACACGACTTCATCTCAACCACTCTCTCTCTCTCTACTTTCTCCCTCTAAAATTCTCGCAAAATTCTCTTTGATATGATTTTTTTCGACAGAGAAAAATGAAACTTCGTAGCTTCGTCGGGACGTGTGCTTGATTGGATTGATGCCCTTTCGGCGACTTTCTCTCTCTAGTTCTCTCTCTCTTCTCTCTCTGTCTTTCGTCAGATTTTGGAAATTTCTCTGATCGTTGCGTCGTTCCTTCGCCTCATACAGTAGCAATTTTGGTTTCTTTCTTCCCATCAATTTCCTGGGATCTCAGAGCGAAATCAGTTAAACTTTGGGATCGATTTTTGCTTTGCTTTTATTTTTGCTTTTTCCTTTTTCGGTAATTGAACGTTGCGTTATAGGTGAAATTTAATTCTTATTTCTCGAAATATTTTCATAACTTGCTCTCTCTTCTTTCTGGAAAAATTTTGTGATCTGAGAATAGTACTTCACTTTGATTTGGTACTCTTCTTATCAATTACTATACTTGTAGGCTTGTTGAATTCGTCAAAATTTTGTAAAATTTTAATATGTTTTCAAGATTCTATAGATTCGGTTTTTTTATCTGTTTTGCTTCTTTGTGAGTTATAATTGGTAAAATTTGTAAAATTAATATGTTTTCAGATTCTGTAGATTCGGTTTTTTATCTGTTTTGCGTCTTTGTGAGTTATAATTGGTAAAATTATCAGTCAAACTACTCTCTCTCTCTCTCCCTCTCTTTTTTACATATATTATATATACCATATTTTTTTACTTTAAATTTGGACAATTTTCACTTTTGGTTCTTTTTTTTTTTTTTTTTGGGGTTCAATTATGGTAGTAATAATTCACTAGTCTCAAAAGCTTGGATTCTGGGATTTAATGGTTGATGAGATTTTAGTTTCCAAAGCTTGATTTAGTAATAATAATGGCTACATCAGCAGAACCCTCATCCTCTCTAAGCTTCACATCATCTTCACACATGTCAAATGGCTCTAACATTAGCCATGAGACTTTGCCTAGTCTCGAAGCCATGAGCCTAAACAAGCTCAGCGCCAATTTGGATCAGCTTTTGGTGGGTTCAAGTTGCGATTACAGTGATGCCGATGTGATTGTTGAAGGGACTCGTGTGGGTGTTCATCGTTGTATATTGGCTGCTAGGAGTGGATTTTTTCATGATCTTTTTAAGAAAGATAAAGGGGTTTCTGAGAAAGGAGGAGGGAAACCAAAGTATTGTTTGGAGGATCTTTTGCCTTATGGGAGTGTTGGGTATGAGGCTTTCTTGGTTCTCTTGAGCTATGTTTATACTGGGAAGCTTAAGCCTTCTCCCATGGAGGTTTCAACTTGTGTGGACAATATCTGTCCTCATGATTCTTGTCGACCTGCTATTAATTTTGCTGTGGAGTTGATGTATGCCTCTTCTATTTTTCAGATGCCAGAGCTGGTCTCACCGTTTCAGGTCCGTTTTTCTGTGTATGTAATATAATATGATAACGATTTTGTTACTTTGATAATTGATTGACACTAAGATGTTTTCATGCTAGTTGATATGATTCGTGGCATGAGTCATAATTTGACTTCTGTTATACAACTCGACCAGCTTTTGATAAGATATTGTTGTAAAAGGAGATGTTTTTTTTTTCTGCTTCTAAACTCGCATATTTGATTTTTGATATTCTTTTAAGTTCCACTTTTGAGATGTTGTTCTAAAAAGGCGGTCTGCTTATGTCTGTGTGTTTCTTTACTTAATTTTGAACGCTTTCTTATTTCAGACGTTATAGGCCAAAATTTGTGAAGTCTGAAGAAACCACGCTGCTGAAAATGCAGAAAACAACTAAAATCAGATTGTCTCTTGCCAAATGTGAAGTTATTAATACCTTTCAAAGCATGCCAAGTCCAAGGATTAGTCGTTCAGTTGACTAAATCTTTTACAACAATACCATTAATCAAGTGGGTGGTTGCAGATTAGGGGCAGAATCCCTTCTTGTTGAGAAGTTATTTGTGTCATTTCAAAACTTGATATTATAGTGGGGAGCAGTTAGTTATTTTCATAGTGTTGTTTCCCTTGTCCAAAATAGATGTGATTCTGGTCACATATACTTGAACATGATATTGTAATTGAACTTTTGTGATATGTGAATACTTTAACATTTTGCCTCATCATATTCATTTCAAATTTGTGGTACCCTCCTCGTTGATATTATTTCTCTCTATAACCTCAGCCCTTTTCGTACAACCTAGAACTTAATTCTTTTTCATTATTGAGTTCACTTAATATTTGCTAGTAGATAAAGATGTGCAGATTGTCTTTTACCATTTCGTAAACTTAAATCTGGGTTTTTATTAGACAAATGAAGGATTATAGCTTTCTATCCTTTATCTGTTTGCAGCGCCGGCTTCTTAACTTTGTTGGAAAAGCCCTTGTTGAGGATGTTATCCCAATTCTTGTAGTTGCATTCCATTGCCAGTTGAGCCAGCTCTTTGCTCAATGTGTAGATAGAGTGGCAAGGTCAGATCTTGAAATAGTCTCTCTTGAGAAGGAACTTCCACATGAAGTTGTAGAAAACATTAAAGTGCTCCGCGGCAAGTCTCAATGCAGCGATAAAGATAACACTGAATCTGTAGATCCCTTGCGTGAAAAGAGAATTAGGAGAATACATAAAGCGTTAGACTCAGATGATGTTGAACTGGTGAAACTTCTTTTAACCGAGTCTGAAATAACATTAGACGATGCCAATGCCCTTCATTATGCTGCAGCTTACTGTGATCCTAAGGTTGTAAATGAGGTGCTTGGTCTGGGTCTGGCTGATGTCAACCTTCAAAATTCTCGTGGCTATACTGTGCTTCATATTGCTGCAATGCGAAAGGAGCCATCAATTATTGTGTCGCTTCTGACCAAAGGAGCTTGTGCGTCAGATCTGACATCAGATGGTCAAAGTGCTGTGAGTATTTGCCGTAGGTTGACAAGGCCAAAGGATTATCATGCAAAAATGGAGCAAGGGCAAGAAACTAACAAGGACCGGATATGCATTGATGTTCTAGAAAGGGAAATGAGGAGAAATCCAATGGCCCCGAATGCATCTATATCTTCACAAACGATGGCTGATGACTTGCACATGAGGCTGCTTTACCTGGAAAACAGAGGTATTACTTTTATCCTGGCTTTTTAGTTGTCCTCAATATTGTTTCTGAAAGCCCTCTTTCTCGTAAAATAGTAGCCATCTCCTAGATGTTGACGTGTGAACATGGAAAGACGTTACATAAATAAAGCTACCTTCTTGATGTCTTTTTATCCTTTCGTTTCACGTTTCTGGGCCATGAATTCGTTATGGCTTCACCTTAGAATGTAGGATTAATTTTATAAATACCACCTTAAGTACGTACATTGTTTCAAAATGCGTCCTGATTTTTTAAAACCGTTCAAAATAACTCCTGATCTATAACAAAAAGTTTAAATTGCCCATTCCGTCTAATTTCATCTATAATTCAAACGGAATTGCTAATGTGGCAGTGATATTATAATATTAAAAGCTAATTAAACTGAAAAATTGAATTAATTATTAAAGAATTCTAAAAATTTGAAATAAGCTAGTTTTTTTTTTGTTCCTTTTTTCTTTTTACACTAAAAACAATTAGATTTATTTTTTTTAAAGGGGATTAAATTTAACGACCTGCAAATGAAAGCAAAAATCTATAGCAAAATGTAATTCGTGCTCTATAGTCTGCACGTGAACTCGAAAAAGAAAAGTTCATCCTTTGAATACTAGCCAAAAAAAAAAAAAGTTCATCCTTTGAAAAAAATTCAGAGCAGTCCCATTTGAAATTTCAAAAAAAAAAAAAAAATCAAACATTCATTTAATCTTCTTTGATTGATATGGGTTTCAACCAAAAAATAAAAATTTGATGAGGAAGGAGCTTGGAGCTCTGTGCAAGAGGAAGTGCACAAGATCCTCGCGCCGGAGTTCGTCGTGCAGAACATTGTCGGCATCGGAGTTCAATGCGCAATGAGCTGGTGGAGGAGCTCAATGGAGGATTTGTTAGACGAAGCGATGAGCAAGGCAAATGAGGGCAGATCTGGGCAGTGAACTAGACGATGATGGTGGATCTGTGCCTGGAGTTGGTTTAGGAAAGATTTGGCAGGGAGCTTGCAAAGGACGAGTCTAGCAATGGTGGGTTTGGGCAAGGGGGTGGTCTGAGCAAGGAGGGCTAGTGAGGAGAGCCACAGATAAGCCGGAGTCTGGCAACGAAGCGACAGTGGTGCTTATACGGCGTACAGAAGGCTCCATGGTTTGAAGATTTTGGCATTCTGAAGGTGGACGAGATTGGGGATGATCTCTGCATCGTTTGAAGACTTTTCTTTTTTTCCAAAATAATTTTAGAAGTTTTGTGTTTGTTTTTTTTAATATATCATAATAAGGATATATATATTTAAATACATTTTTTAAACTTTTAATGTATGCCACGTCCTCAAAACGTTAGAGTTATAGGCGGGAGATTGACGCAGGGGGCATTTTGAAACGTTGTCTGTACTTCGGTAGGGTACATAATTTGGGGGTATTTATGAAAATAATCCTAGAATTTATAATGCTTTCTATTAATTCAGGCCTCGTTCGTTTCGCTGATTCGAGTTTAGAATTCGAGTTTTGCTACAGTAAAAAGCTCTCACAAACAATCACATCTAACTTTTTTACTACAGTAAAAAGCTCTCACATACAATCACATCTCAACTCAAATTCTACACTCGAATCATCGAAACGAACGAGGCCTTAATGTGTATCCATTTCCTTAACATGCTCTTTATGCTTCGATTGTTGAACTGCTAAAAGTACTTTCTCTTGCAGTGGCATTTGCTCGATTGTTCTTTCCTAGTGAAGCCAAACTAGCCATGGACATTGCCCATGCTGAAACAACATCTGAGTTTGCTAGGCTTGCTGCTGCATCAAAAAGTTCAAGTGGAAATTTCAGGGAGGTTGATTTAAACGAAACCCCCATCGTGCAGAAGAAAAGACTGTTTTCTAGGATGGAAGCCCTCATGAAAACAGGTAATTCCTGTCTTGAAATCAAATTATGCAAGAGTGTACGAATACTAAAGCGTAAAAAATACTGCACTGATTTTGATTAGTAAAACATAGTGTTTGACCGTTAAATCATATTAACAACGTGGACGTTTAGTTCATGGATTCAGAATCATGATTTAAAATCATTTTCGGTTTATGTGTATTTTTTGTGAGAAAAAATACTGTAGCGAACCACAAATTATAATTCGAATCATGATACGAATCCACCACAGTAGAGTGCTATGTAAAGTACAAAAGCTGCAAGATAGTCTACTGCACTACAAGCTGATAGGTGAATAAACACATTAATCAAATGATCAGCAAAACTCATTAATCAAATACTTGATTCCCGTCCTTATTCCTCTTTCTTTCATTTCCGAGCCATTTCTCTCTCCGAGTTAGGTTCTCGTGCCCCATCTAAGAACATCCTATTGAAGTAGATACAGATTTTAAAGGATTCAGAAGGGAATAAAGAGGCTATTTGGTAACATAGTGCAAATCATTAACATGGAAAAAGGCAATATGTAATTTCTGTTTCCTTTGCCAAAATAATAATAAAAATAATAAGAAAAGGGGGGAACCGAATAAGAAAGTATTGAAAACCACTGGTGATGGAGAAAGTGTTTAGGTTATCTCTCTACGTTTCTCAACCATAAGGCTTATTTACAGTGTACACTACTAATATCGATTCCATTGTCAACTATCAAATACACCATCTCTTCGGTCTTCACATCTATGTCTCTCACCATATATTTAATTTCTGGTTCTTGTTATATTTATTTGTATGATTATGATTTAGATTTTTATTCAATGAGAGCATTTTGCTATTATGGTCATTGAACGTGTTATTAAGATGGGTTCGATGTATGAATAACATATGTATGGCAAGTAAAAAAGATTTTGTTATGATGGTGGCAGTGGAGATGGGTAGACGCTATTTCCCTCATTGCTCCGAAGTGCTGGACAAGTTCATGGAGGATGACCTGCCTGAAATGCTTTACCTTGAGAAAGGCACTACCGAGGAGCAGAAAATCAAAAGGATGAGATACATGGAGCTTAAGGATGATGTCCAGAAAGCATTCAATAAGGACAAGGCTGAGTTTGACCGCGTCGGTTTGTCCTCCTCGTCATCCTCGTCTTCTCAAAAAGACGGTGTAAAGCAGAGGGCCAGAAAGGTGTAATAACGCTTGTAAATTCTCTCTGATTAGTGAATAAGGTTTACTGCCAGGAGCTTGTTGTAAGTTTTGGCTCTTCTTTGTCTGTGTAATCATAGCAAAGAAGCAAATTTTGCTTGTATTTAACCACTTTTTGACAAATTAGCATTGTATCAAGATCTCCTACAGATGATACTTATCGGCACTTGGTAGCCCCTATGGTAAATGAAAATTCTTTGACGCTTGCATTCTGGTGATTGTTCTACTGATTTGCATATTGAATTTTATACCAGAATGGAAAATGATGATGAACTGACATTCCCAGGAAATTTAAATAAATAAATTTGATTTTTTTTTTTTTTGCCATTTAATCTACTATTTAACTTGAGTGATTTGACTTGGTGATGGGAGTGACATAGTTCTTCTTTGTTGATAAATTTCCAGAGGCAAGTAAATTAAATTAACTATCTTGTATTTCGGACGCAACAATTTATTATATACCCATGTTTCCTGATACATGCCAATACATGTTTGAGGGAGAGATATACCAAGTATAATTCACCGTGATTTGCTACAAATTGATTGATGGGAGTGGGGCCCAAAGTATGAAAGAAGTACGAGCCATGAGGTCCAAAAAAATGAGTTACTGTTTGCTTAAATTTTTTGAGCAAAAAATATATATTATATACCTGGACAAAAATTTCGCCCAAATTTCGGAAATTTCGGTTGAAATTTCGGATTTTTGACGGTCTTGAAATTTTTTTTTCACTATAATATCAATATCAGTGAGATATTAGAAAAATATCAATATCAATTTGCATAGAGTAATTGGGGTAAAATATTAAAAAATGTTAATAAAATTTCGGTGATATCGGAAACGGAAATTTTAAAATATTTTTTTTTAATTTGCTTTATAATATATGTTCTCTTGCATTATTTCTTTTGTCATTGAGCAAGGAAAGCGAGGAATATCAAGAATGCAAACATCTGATGAAGATAATCTTTTCATGAGTTTACAATTGATGAATTTGGCTTTCAATTACTGCAGCTCTTCCAAGAGACTCCTAACGTTCATTAAATATATCATAATTTTAGAAACTGTGATAAGTATGAAATTTTGAATTATCCTCATCCAAACATACCAGCACCATCTCAGGCAAATGATTAGGGGAATGCACAATTTCTAATTCATAAAAATTACAACGGAAAGGGACAAACCTTCATGTGGCACGTTCATAATATTAATATTGTTTGAATCAATATCTAATCTTGACCATGTTTGAGCTTCATAGAACTTCCTTTTGGTATTAAAAAATATAATATGTATGAAGTTTTTTTTTAAAAAAAATGTAAAACTTGTTTATTTATGTATCTTTTTAATATTGATGCTATTAGAAAGTATTAAAAATATGTTCTAACGAAAATTTCCATCATTTCCATAAATTTTTTTGATATTTCCACCGATGTCGATATTTTCTCAGATATTTCTGTAAAATTGGAGTACCAATCTTCTACTGATACTGATATTTTTCATCTTCGATTATATATATATATTTGATGTTTTCCTGCTACAGAAGACGTATGCCCCACTTATGCTATGTTTGGTAGGATGGATATAAAAGAAGAAAGAAAGAGAAGTAAAATACCTAGGTGAATGAAGTAAAGTGGTAGAATTAGAATTTTCTCTCATGTTGTTTGATAGAAGAAAAAGAGAAGTGAAAAGAAAGTGTCAAATTTAAGGCATTTTACAATATTACCCCAATACAAATAAAAATATGATGAACGGTGAAGGTTAAAATTATTATTTTATGCTTTATTTGTTTGTCAAACTTTTTTTCTCATCTTTTCTTCCCAAAGTTGGAAGGATAAAAACTAGTGGGCCTTAAATTTTCATTTTCCTTCCTCATTTTCTCTCTACCAAAAGACCTAAAATTCTATTTTTCTCTCCAAAATCATTCATCTATTTTCTTTCCTCTCTTTTCCATCCTACCAAACACAATGTTAAATTGACCGTGAATTCTGGACAAAACATGGGTGCATTTGGAACTCGTTCTAAAATGATTTTATTTTTTGTATGAAACTGGAAATGAAAACGTTTTCAATCTCAGACAGAAAATCATTTTTAAAAATGCGTTTGGTAGTTTTTTCAAGAGATTATTTTCAATATAAAAATAGTCATTAATGTCTCTCTTTCTACTCGAGAAAGGAGAAAATAGAAACAAAAAATGAAAAACGACTAAAAGTCATTTTTCATTTCTCTCATATTTTACACTAAACCAAAAAATTATTTTCATTTCTGATTTTTATTTTTAATTGTGTCAAACACCGTTTCTCTCTCATTTTCATTTTTTTCCTAAAAAATCGTGAAAAATGAAAACAAAAATAACTCCAAACACCACCTTGGAGTATTCTTCTCATTTTCTAAAACTTCATAGTTAAACGATGGAGGATATAAATTTGATACCCATTTTATAGGGTACTTTACAAGAATACCGCGTATGTGAGCCTGGAATTGACTTGTGCTCATTAATGTCTCTCTCTTTCTACTCGAGAAAGGAGAAAACATAAACAAAAAATGAAAAACGACTAAAAGTCGTTTCTCATTTCTCTCATATTTTACACTAAACCAAAAAATTATTTTCATTTCTGATTTTTATCTTTAATTGTGTCAAACATCGTTTCTCTCTCATTTTCATTTTTTTTCCTAAAAAAACATGAAAAACGAAAACAAAAATAACTCCAAACACTGCCTTGGAGTATTCTTCTCATTTTCTAAAACTTCATAGTTAAACGATGGAGGATATAAATTTGGGAGAAAGAGGAAAATAGGCAAAGACTTAAGATGAATTAAAATTAATAGGTCAATAGTTTACATAAGTTAATAAATAGGTCAAATTACTATTTTCGTCCATAACTTGTCTAGTTATGAACCATAACTTGACAAGTTATTGTCCATAACTTATCTGGCTATGAACCATAACTTGACAAGTTTATCCATAACTTATCTGGTCATGAACCATAACTTAACAAGTTATGGCCTATTAATTTCTATAACTAAGAATTGGTCTATATACTTTCTTAAACTTTTTATATTGGCCTATTTTCTTCTATTTCCCTATAAATTTGATACCCATTTTATAGGGTACTTTACAAGAATACCGAGCCTGGAATTGACTTGTGCCCAAGAAAAAAATATTTACAGAAAATGCCATGGTCAAGTCATCCCATTATATTTAAAATACCAAATATAACTTTAAGATAGCTGTTGGTATCGGTCGGGATACCACCCGGTATCCATTGTGATACTAGCCGGCAACTGTTTATTGGTGGTTACTGATTAGTAACCACAGTGATACAGGCTGGTAATCAAGTGCCGGCGGTAACTAGTCGGAAACTGCTAGCCGGTATCCATTCCAATCAGTTTTCTAGCCGGTATCCACTGGAAAAATCACCATTGTTGGCGGCGGTAGTACAATCATCACTATTGCAGGAGTATTCAAAAAATCGCAAAAGTCCACCAAATCACAAATAATACGAAAGAGAAAAAAAAAAAAGAAAAAGAAAAAAAAAACCCTCACAAAACCAACAGCAACAAAAATGATCAAAACGTCACAAAATCCACAAAATCTCCGAATATTTTGGGAAGATCTCTTCGTCGCCGGAACCATAGATTTCGTTGCTGCCTCTGATTTTTTTTTCCTCCACATGGCATAAGTCGATCCCCACTAATTTCGTGGCATGGTCCGTAATTATCCCCATTTTATATCATGCTATAAAATTGATGAAGTCGAAAATAGTTATTATAGTTTCTGAGCAAATCTAAATACTCAGTATTAATATATGTGTATATAGACGAGTTTTCAATAGTTATAGTACTCTAGTATTAATATATGTATATATGCATGAATTTTTAATAATTATGTTTCTATCATGTTCACATATTAAATTATATAAAGTGCATATATATATATATATATATATTAGGGTAAAAGGTAACACAATGATAAAAGTTTTATATCCCTGAAACATAGAGTAGCATGAAATGGTTCCTTGTACACCGTTGACAGGGATGAGTAGAGCTGGATCTTTTGAAGGGCAACAAAAAGAAGAATAGTTTGTTCGTGTATGGTCAATAATACAAATATCATCTCTTCAATAACAAAATAATCGGTAGTAATAATACAAGTATCATCCAACATTGTAGCAAAGTCAACCAATTGCAAGCCATTTAATGAGTAGCAGCATGAATATGGCAGTCCATTAACCCAATTTGAGGCCAACTAAAGTATAAGGCAGTCCTTTAGCCCGAAATACATACATATATATATATATATATATACACTTATTAATAATAATAATGGTGTGATATTGATCGTCAGATAAATTAGATATAAAAAGTAATCCTTTAAAAGCCAGGTTTCAGTTAAAACATGGGCATACACAATGCAATATTTATTTCCACTCCCTTTCTATTCTCATTTGAATATTTGATCATTCGAAAAAAAGAACAAAAAGTTCTTAACATGCTCATTCTAAGAATCATTACTTGCAGATTAAGCAAGCAACTACAATTGACCAAATACATCCTCCTGTATCTTTTAAAAATTTAATGACACTACCAAAAAAAGAGTCGAATAGAGGTGACAAGTTAGGCTCAACACAAGTTTAGGCTGTTGAGCCGGATGAAAATTTCAATCTCGCCTGGCCTGACCTTAAATGGGAGAGGAACGGCCGGGCCCAAACTTTTATAAGGTATTTTCAAAAAAATCTTTAAAAAGAGGGTGTTTAGGCCGGCTCAGCCCGAAGGTTAGGATCAGACCCGGGCTAACAGTAGCCAGCCTCAAGCCAGCCCGTTTGGCCGAACCCAAACTTACAACGGCCAAACTTACAACTCTAGAGTCGAAGTATAGAATGAGATAAGCTACATACTTCTTCTTCTTCTTCTTTATTTTATTTTTATCTTTTTTCTCCGGGTTAATTTGCATAAATCCCAATTTATCCAGTTCTTTTGCTCAATATTTATCCAAAAATTTGTCTAGTCAATACTAAATGTTATAGCCTACAAGTTTTGCAATGAAACAACTGAGCATCAAAAAAGAAAGCATATTTTTCCAGGTATCACCTGGCAATTCAATATTGTTTACAGATCCTGAAGTGTCTTCAAAAAAACTTCAGATACACAACCTGCTGACGATCAAAGGATAAGTGATACATCCAGCTGTCATGCCAAACAAGCATCAGAAATAAGAATATTTTATCCAAACAAGGATAAGACTGTTGAACTCAAGTTAAGTCAAACTAAAAAGTAATGGTTTATCCAAAAAAAAAAAAAAAAACACTTAAAATAACGTTCTATTGATAAACTGACACGAAATTATCAAAGCATGTAGATTAATATTTTATTGGACAGAAGGACAAAATTATTCTTGAACAATGATAGGACGCTAATAGTGCTGAGCCCCACACACTAATAGCAGGTGATACCACAGACAGGGCCCACGTCTATTAGTAGCAGTGCTCTCAAGCGTTTTTCATTATTCTTAGCTTGACACTGATGAACTTTTCAGGGTTTCCCACATAGCTGGACCTTCAGGATGAACATCCACAAAATATTTAAGAAATCGTGAATCCGAACACGCAAGGAGAGTGCTCAATTTCAACATAGGCTTGGCTGCACCTTTCTCCCTCAGCCACGCATACATAGAGAATCTAAGGTTAATCCGCTCCATATCGTAGCATAAATATGTTGGAAATGCAACCACAGATTCCAGGGGATAACCTAAATAATTTATCAAGCAATCAATCTTCTTTTCAATCACATCTTTGCTCTGGTTCAGAACCATAGGAGCGCGTTTAATTATGTCCGCCACAACATTACAGTCCAAACCGGCTTGTACCAGGCAATCAAATCTCTCTTGTAACTGGTCTCCCCTACCCCTGAATTTTTTCAAAGCTTTTGTCATCTCATCTGAGTTTTCAGCATACCCCAATCTCACCAAGAATGATGATTTCTCTAGATGTTTACTCGGACTTGGGCATGATATTTGTTCACTGCTCTTATTTTTCAGTTTTGAAGCCAGCCATAACACCCCAAGAGGGTCTTCTTTTATAATCTGGCATAGATGATCTCGACGAACTTTCAACTCTTTACAAACAGTTTTGGGTCCTTTAAGAGTAGAAGAACCCAAGAATTCGATATGCTTACTCACAATATCAGCAATATCTTCTATAGGCATTCCAATACCAAAAAGAAAATCGACTGCCTGCAAAAGATTCTGCGAAAACTTTCTCGACAATATTTTTGGATTTTGCTTAAACATGAAGCAGATCTCATTCATCTCGAGACCCAACTTGAGTAACCTGCCAAACAATGCATACACCCTCTTCCCAGAACCTTCAAGCAACAATGAAGGACTTGTTTTTAACAAACTGCGCATCTGCTCCTCCCTAAAACCCACATCTTGAAGAAAATCCATTGTATCAGTCATTCTCTTCCAGTTGCAAGTATTGCTACTAGTTATATACCCCCTAAACCAATCATTTTCAATCCCTAATTCCCGCAACTTTTGAAGAACCTTCACAAATTCAGAGTTAACACCACCAACCAAAAGCAGTGGATAGCAGCTAACAAGTTTAATCACAGTAGGTCTGCTCAAACCCAATTTTTCATAAGCCCGAAGTTTCAAAGACATCACTCCTTTGTCATATCCAAAAATCTCTTTTGCTTCCAAATACATTCTTCCGATCTTACTGTGCGGAATTCCATAATCGCACAAGACATGGAAGTTCTGAAGCATAGAAGAATTGTCACTCAAAAACATCGAGTCTCGAGGGAGAAGCAAGGGAAGCTCTGATGGTCTCAGACCCAAGCTCTCAAAGAAGGGTTCAAACTCATTAATGGGATGGTAATGAAAAAACCTAGTTAATTCCCTAGGAATGTCTTTCTCGGTATCGATTTCAGAGAGCAGATTCTGAACAAAATAAGGGCAGTTCTTGCTTATATGCTCAGCGTCCATGAAGTTGAAGTTCCTTGTACAGTGCAGGTAATCAAAAAGCGCTTCTTGAGCTTCAGTTCTGGTAACCCGAGACACCCTAGAGACATCGGCGCTATGGGCAAGGCTAGAACTACGAACGCTTAGAAACCTAAGCGAAATAAAAGACGGGTTTTGAATATAACTAGCTCTTTCATACAAAACAGGAGAAAAAAGAGGGATTTGGTTGAGTTGGGAAATCATACCAGAGAATTTGGATACCCTTTTATGGATTCTGGCAATTAACATTACAAAGAGGACTAAACAAAACCAAAATACATAACAATGAAATCAAAATATTATACTTGAGTGACTTAAGTGCAAGTATTATCCCAGAGGAGTAGATTGCTCAGAAGCAAAGAAAGAAGGGTCGAAATCTGAGCTTTGGATTGGCTCTCTCTGTCAAGAAATTTTGCGGGCTATTCGTATTTTCCGATCTAATAGCTGAATTGAAGCTGAAAAAGAGACAATTCCAAGAGGGCTTTCAAATGAGGCATTACCTGGCAAAGGTGATATTTTTGGTGAAGTGAAAAAGCACCTTAGGTTCTCGCTCTATGCGTTTGAGAAAAACAATTTGGACTCCTGGAAAAATTTGTGCCCTTTTTCTGTAATTTATCCTGAAAGAAAAGAATTGAAAACACGGAAAAGAAACCGAGTCAAAGAGCAAAACTAATACATTGATGCACTAATAATCAGAAATGAGCAAATTAGAACCTACCATCGCACTTTTTATACTTGCCAAGCACATTACGATTCCACAATGAGCTAAATCAAAAATCAATACAAACCAGTAAAAAATGAACTACTTTTTTTATGCTCAAATTTCTCGAGTGTCCTATTAAACTACTTGTGCTCTGAAACTGCTACTCACAATTAAACTAAAAACTCACGTCTCTGTTTTTTTGAACAAAAAAAAAAGACCAAAAGTCTTGCACAACGCAAAACATATATATATATATATATATAGAGAGAGAGAGAGAGAGAGAGAGATAACCTGAGATTCGGCGTAAAAAAGCGGGGGCGGTGGAGGGGCGGCGACGCTGGAGAGAGAGAGAGAGAGAGAGAGAAGTGAGAAAGGGAAATGATTGAACTTTTTGGAATCAGATGCTCTAGTAGCCCCAAAGGTTAAACGACACCGCTACTAGTCTCTGAACGACACAACGAAAAGAAAAATAAAAAAGAAGAAAAATTACATAAAATGCATATTCATATTTTTAAAAATATCGACTATTTTACAATATTATGAAAATGTCGATTTGAATTTTATAAGGTATATTTTTTTGCAAAAAATTACATTTATGAAATATTTTAGGCACGTTCCATATATGGTTAATTATTTTTTTTTGTCTGATTTGATGATGACTGTGGACTACGTTATGATAATTAAATGGCAGATCTTTAATATAATATTCATTGATTCACAAGTTGGTATTGGATTTTCATACGGTAGACCCGTTCACTTCGTTGATTTGAGTTTGTAATTCGAGTTGAGATGTGATTTTATGTGAACTTTTTACTGTAGTAAAAAAATTAGATGTGATTATTTTTTAGAACTTTTTACTGTAATAAAACTCGAATTCTAAATTCAAATTGGCAAAATGAACGAGGCCTTAAGCCTATGAGTCTGGAGACTTCAAGCAAGTCAATCACATGCTTCAATTCTTGAGGAAGGTAATATCTAGAATCCTACATTATATCATTTCTTTATATTAATCTTCAAATTTGAACGAAAAGTTGTCCTAATTTTTTTTTGTCTCTTTGATTTCATAATAAAGTTTCATTTCATGTTGTAATGGTTGATTAATCATCCAAATTTAATCTCGAATACATTCTATATCAGTAGGGATTCGTACTCTGGTATTCCTATTCTCATCCTTGCTCACCAAATCTCAAACGGTATGCAAATTATAAGGGATAAAAAAAACATTTATGAACCACTTATAATTATAAAAAAAAAAAAAAAATTATGATCATTTGTATTTACCGGTAAGTAAAGAATAAATAAACTAGCCAAAAGGCCAAACATGTCAGACATATGGATAGGAAGATTCAACCGTTTTTTTTTTTTTTTTTGGGTTCTTCATGAGCAAATGAAGCCGAAATCACACCACTAATAAATCTTCAGGTTAATTATAACTCGCACTCTCTTGTTTTTGTTCGCTTTGTAGATTTAAGTTGAGATGCGATATTTTTTTGAGAGTTTTTAACTGTAACAAAAAAAGTTAAACGTTATATTTTCTAAGAGCTTTTAACTGAAACTGAAAACTCGAATCATTGAAATGAACAAGGCCTTAAATCTTTTTTATTGCCTAATCATTTTTTTAAAGAAAATATTTTCTTTTTATGTTCATATTTTCTTTTAAGGTTTTATGTTTCTTCTTTTTTAGAAGTTTTTCTTCATTATGGTTTGATCATGTTTCTTCTTTATTATAATGTTTTTCTTTTTTGATAATTTTTCGTGAATGACATTACTTATTGTTTTGCTTTTCACTTTCATTATCTTTTAATCATTATTTTTGTGAAAAATTTTATTATTTTTATACATATTTTTTAGTTAGGTTTTTTGTTTTTTCTTTATTAAAATTTTTACTTCATTATGCTCTGATCAAATTTTTTTTCTTTATTTTAATGTTTTTTTAATGATTTTTTTATGAATGATATTGATTATTGCTTTGTTTTTCCTTTTCGTTATGGTATTATCATTATTTTTGTGAAAATGATTATTCTTTTGATACATATTTTTCAGGAGTCAATATTAGGTTTGGGGTATTAACTTTTTTTTTTTTTTTTTTTTTTTTGTTCATGGTTGCAGAGCTTTTTAGGTTGTCTTCTTTCTTTTTGTGTTTTTAATGAGTAGATAGTTTATTCTTATATATATATATATATATATATATGAGGAGGGTTAAATACAGACATTATTTTACACTCTCTTTAGATACTATCTTATTCTCTTGACAAGCGTAAATTAAGGCATCGTTCAGTTCGCGGATTCGAGTTTTGAATTCGAGTTAAGATATAATTTTATGTGAGAATTTTTTATTGTAGTAGAAAAAGTTAGATGTGAATTTTTATGAAAGTTTTTAACTGTAATAAAACTGAAATTAAAAATTTAAATTATTGAAATGAACGTTTCCTAAATTTTCTCAACCTAAATTCAGTTAATAATAACCATCTTTTTTCCCATTTATTTACAAGAGCGCCATCCTCAGATTTAATTCCCATTACCCCATTGTGTTACTTTGTACATACACCTTTTATTTATGAAAATGTCATCATCTCCTTTGCTCCAAATGAACGACTTTTCAAAACCCAGCATAAGAGAAAAAACAAAAAATAAAAAAAAATAAAAGAGAGAACTGAGTGAAAGCATTGCATAAAGAAAAGAAAAGAAAAAAAAAAGCCAGAAATTCTTTACTCCATGAGTTATTAGGATTAATATTTTGTCTTGTATTTCCATTAACGAGGTATAAAAATATTAATATATCACTCTAGTTTTTTTTTTTTTTTGTCAATGTTTTTTTTTTTTTTTTTTTTGCCGCTAGTGTTTATCAGTGAAATGCTACACGTTTGTTTTCTCCTTTTTTTTATTGACGACTTTTTGTTATATAATATTGTTTCCATTTCATAATTTGCTATTTTACGTACCATTTTACCAATTGCTATGCGTTTTTTTTTTTTTTTTTTTTTTTTTTTTTTTTTTTTTTTTTTTTCTTCTTTGTTTTCCCTTCCGTTTTTGTTGGTCGTTGCCTATGAGGTTTATAACCAGTGTCTCTTTTTTTTTTTTTCTTTCGAATTTAAGGTACAAAATGACTTCTTATAAGAAGATTACAACATGAGTTGGTCAATCAAATATTTAGATGGATCAAAAGTTTAAAGACATGACCAAAAAATATTTTTAACAATTATTATATTTTACTTTTTTTATTGGAGGAATTGTTATATTTTACTTGATTTCACTAACGACAGTAACGTGTGTTATTTTTATTTGGATATTATATTTTTGTCTTCGATCATTTGTATATTTCTGTTTTCAATCTTTTAATATGAAAATATACTTTTTCTTGTCTTATTTTCATACCAGCTACTTAGCATATACAAACTAGCATACGTAAAGTAGCGAGGGAGTTGAAAAAGAAAAAAGAAAAACAAAACAAAACAAAACCGAAAAAACATGAGGTAGTTTCGTCAAAAAAAAAAAAAAAAAAAGTGAGGTAGTGGGGGTTTATTGTTGAAAAAATAAATAAATAAAACAAAAGAAAAACAACACACATGGAGAGTAATAGTGGCTCTCTTGTAAATAAACAGGAACAAAGAGGGTTGTTATTAACTGAAATGGACACTTATAATCCGTTTGGTTCATAGATTAGAACTATGTGATTAGAATTATTTTCGATTTACGTATATTTTTTGTGAGAAAAAATACTGTAACGAAGCACGAATCATAATTCGAATTAGGGAACGAATCCATTTACCAAATGGGCTCTAAATTAAGAGAATAAGACAGCATCTCTGAAAAAGAATATGAAATAAAAATTTAAGACTTATATATATATATATGCTTATATAAAGAAACCTTTTATACTGATAAATATCATTAATGAATTTACTGTAGTTGACTTCTCATTCACCTTTCCCATATTTAAAATTTTAAAGAAATGTGCCTTTCCTGTTTTTTTTTTTTTTTTTTATTTAAGAAAATTTTCCTTTTGTTTAAAAAGATAATATTTCTTTAAATGTTGATTTCATTTAAATATTTTTGGTGTCGACTTTTGTTTCAATTCCTAATTTACTATATCTATTTCCATTTTCTTGCCTATTAGGTTCTTTAACC